CAGAAAGAAACTTGTTCTCTCTCAGCTTGTTACTGAGTCAGAATTGCTCACCAGGTGCTGTGGCTCATGCCTATAATCCCAGCACTTTGGGAAGCTGAGGTGGGTGGATCCCTTGGGCCCAGGAGTTTGAGACCAGCGTGGCCAAAATGGCAAACCCTGTCTCTACGAAAAATACAAAAATTAGCCAGGGATGGTAGTGCATGTCTATTGTTCCAACTACGCAAGACTCCAGCCTGGGCAACAGAGTGAGATGCTGTCTCAAAAAATAGCAAAGCTGTCTTTCACTTCCATAAAAAGTCCAAACACCTCAGCAACATGCCTGCAAACAGTCTTGAACAAGCCAGCTCTTTTTCAAAGGTGCAATTTTGATTCCCCATCAAGTAATTTTCTCTTGAGTCTTGATAATGTATTCAACATTAATAAACATTTATTAAGCTTCTCCTATGTCCCAGACACTGCTAGGTAAGAGATCAATAGGCAGTCCTGCCTCCATGGTACACAAATTCAAACGTAACTATCTATCTCTGTACAGGATTTTCTGAATTGAAAAATGAGTAACATTTTCTAATTCTCACTAGCTTGAAAAAGGAAACTTTTGATCTATTAGTAGAATACTGTAGCATATTTTGCGCTGATTCATTTTTAACTTGCTATGGAATTTTAGAGATCTTGTTCCATTTCATTACGAAACGTGGAATAGATGAGTGACCCCATTTGGTTTCCATTTCAATCAGTGTTACTTATACTTGTGCCTGTATTTTCCCATTTAAGAAAATCTCTTGTCTTTGTATCATGTGCTTTATTTCTACATTAGGAAGATGTTAAATGTTTAAAATTATTTCATTTTTATAACACATCATCTTAAATATAATGCATAACAAGAGCGAGTATACTAAGATAGCTTGGTTTGCCTTTTATATGTATTACTAATCAGTTCAACTGTAATGTTTATAATGTATCAACTTTAAAATGTAAGCTAATATATCAGGAACAGCTCCAAAATATTCCTAGGTGGGTACCTAGTAAACCTCAAAAATTAAGTTTTGTTTTTGTTTTGCTTTAAAGAGATAGGGTCTTTCTCTGTCACCTAGGCTTGAGCTCACTGCTGGGCTCAAGTAATCCTTCCACCTCTGTCTTGCAAGTATTTGGGACTATAGGTACGTACCATCATGCCTGGCTAACTAAACAAATTATTTTTAGAGATACGGTCTGGCTTTGTTGCCCAGGCTGGTCTTGAACTACTGCCCTTAAGCAATCCTCCTTCATCAGTCTTCCAAAGTGCTAGGATTGCAGGCATTAAGTCACCATGCTCAGCCTAAAGCTTTTATATTTGCTTGAAGAGATTAAAAACTTACGTACAAGTTAATAGTCCTCTCACTCACCATTCCCAAAAAGACCTGGGTTGATGACTGAAGTCTACATACCCAGAGACTGTTCTCAATGAGCCACTGGGGTTCTAAACACCTCATACTCTGCTCACTATTTCCCTGAGATCTGCAGCTCTTTCGCCATTTTAGTGAGGCCATGTCCTAAGGATCCAGACAAAGCATAGTCCTCCTCAGCTTTCAAGACAATTTACTTCTTTTCTTAATCATTATACTTCTATTGAAACACAAAACCCGAATTATATTATAGAAGTCCAAATTTGTTTAGAATCTTTAAGAACTTTGTATACTTTCCCTGCAATATAGTACAGAAAGGCAATAAGGCATCATCTAGGTCTAGGTGAAAATCAGGGATTCAGTTGCCAGCTTGTCATCTGGGTTTGAATCCCAACTCTAACACTTACCAGCAGTATGACTTGAAGTAATTTAAACTCTGTACCTTATATTTCTTATCTGTAGAACAAAAATGTCAATTTTATCTACCTCACAGGTTGTTATGAGACTATAAATGAGTAGATAAAGGGCTTAGAACAGTGCTGGGCATGTAGGAAGTGCTTTTAAAAAAGGATATTAATCATTATTTTAAGATGGCCAGCTGACCAGGCTTCTCAGAATAATCCCCAATCTTGGAATGAATCAATTTCCCTGTTGAGAAAACAAATCAGTCTAATGTTCTATGGCCCAAGGCCCTCTGTTTAGCATAACAATGTACTTTTCCTTGTACATTGTACTTTGGATTCCAGCAGCAAAGCTGGTTCCTATGCTATCCTCTTGTGACTTTCCTGCTATGGAGTCTTATTCTCAGATCTTGACCCCATTCCACCTACGAATTAGAAGTGAAGAATGGCTATTCCTTGAGGAAAAATGGGCCCCAAGTAGAGATCTACCCATTTCTTCTATTTCTTCTCTCATCCCAATTCTCAGGTGAAAGAGATCCTTCAGAATTTCTTCTTGCTTAGGCAAGCCGGGTCAGTGTCTAGTGCCTTCTCACTGTATGGTTCAAAACATTATGTCATCAAGTTTGCAGTATGCGTTATGATCTCTCTTTAGTCTTGAGACAAGACTTTCCCTCAAGTTTGTTGTATTTGTTCACCATAGACATATTTCAAGTGGAGAAATTCAGTCAACACATACTCCCTGTAGTAGTCACCTAATTTTTTAATGCCAAACATCTAGGCTGTCTTTCCCTCTGTAGAACTGTAACATCCCTACTCTTAGCCCAATTATTGAGGTTAATCTGCCTCTATAGTTGGGTTTCAGGGGGGATCTAGTATAATCCAATGCATGTATTTTAGCCCCTTGATCACCTGTACTAACCTACAGGAACCAAATGAGTTTGTAATTGCTGTGGTCTACCACATAGAGCCTAAATCCAGAAGAAACATATCCTGCTGATATAATTTGAGCTCCAAATCAAGCTAGGTTCACAAAAACCAAAGTTGGGTTTTGATATGGTTTTTTTGTGTTCATTTAAATGTAGGTATATAAAAAACAAAGCCAAATGTGAAAGCCTGCCTAGGAAAAGCTGGAGTTTGCTTATTGTACTCTGTTAAAATACTCCCTTTAGACAAACCCATGCTGAAATAGGATAGGCCTATTGCTAGTAGCACCCATTTCAATCACCAGGGCAGTTTATTAGCCTTTTATCTCTACTGAGATAATACTATCAGTGGTCCCTGAAAGCTGGTCTACACCCTGGCATGTGTCAGTGACAACATTTACACCAGGCCATAGCATTCTTCTCAGTTAAGTTCTACTACTACGTGACAGTGAGCAAAGCCTGAGCCAAGTCCTAGGTATGAGTGGTGTTGGGGCTCAGAACACGATACCCCCAAGTAAGGTGCTTTAGCATGCTGAGTAAGAGACTAGAAGGCCTCAGAAGCAGCCTCAGAACGAAGGTCTCTGACCTTTTCCTACCTTCCTGCTTCTTACTCCACTCTTCTCCAAAGTAAGTCATAAAACCTGGAAATATTATTCCAATCTTCCCCCACCTTTCTAGGTCTTAAGACCATCCTTTGATAAGGGTCCTGCCCCATACCCAGGAAGAAGGAAAGCTACACAGAAAGACCAAGAAAGACCTGAACAGATAAGCCCTGTGGGTTTCTTCAGTTTATTACCATTAGATCATACCCGTTTATCCAGTCATGTTTCTATGTGACTGTCCATTCTTCCATTCTTCATCAGACATAAGAATGAAAACACAGTTTTCTCTGCATATTTAAGTCTTCATTTCTGAAGGCTCTCATAAAACCTGGATTAAATTTGTTGTGCTTTTCTCTTGTTAACCTGTCTTTTGCTATAGGAGTGTTGGCTGTGACCCTTATGATGGATGAGGGAAAGTATCACATCATTCTGCCCCTACAGCAACCACAGAGAGGCTACTCTGAAACTCCCATCCTACTCTCACAAATGAGGCAACAAGTGTGAACTTCCCCCCTGCAGATTATTCAGGGAGAAGGCAGAAGAAGCAACTGAAGGCAATGGAAGCCATTGTTCTATGGCTTTTAGGTATGCTCAAGATATACCGAAACAGTATTATGTGGCTTCCACTTTAGCCAGAATACCTAAATGCCATCAAATTTACACAGATTACAAAAAAAAAAAAAAAAACTTAGAATAAGTTGCCATTTGAACTCTAGTCTGTGGTGAACAGACCCCCAAGATCACAAACTTATATCCGGACCACAATTAAATGGTAAACATTACAAAATGGAAATTGTTTATAAATTTCTACATTTAGATTTTCAAAAATATATCCTAGTAAAATGCTGCCAATTACCTTCTGATGTGAAGTATTGTCCTTTATTCTAATTACAGATCTCTCTTGATGTAAGATAAAAATATTCTTTTTTTTTTTTGACATTAGATTGATAGTAAGATAGAATTTATTTTGTCAAGTACATGTAAAAAAATTGTCAACCTTAGGTTGGGCCAGTCCTTTTAATTTTTTAATATTAAGGAGTCCATATTAACATTAAGTGGTCTAAAAGCTTGGAGACCACTGAGACACAGTGCCAGTTGAACAAATTTCCATTCCCAGTACTAGCCATAAATTACCCATGTTTGACATTTAAAGAAAAGAAGCAAATTAATTATCTTTCCTTTTTAAAAGAACACATTTTACTTTATACTTTTCCCTAAGATTTTAATTAAAGTACAGTAGTTCTCCCTTATTGTGGGGGATGTTCCACGACCCTCAGTAGATGTCTAAAACCTCAGATAGTGTCAAATCCTATATAGACTGTTTTTCACCCACATATAAATATCTATGATAAAGTTTAATTTATGAATTTGGCACAGAGAGAGATTAACCACAATAACTAATAATAAAATAGAACAATTATAACAACATGCTGTAATAAAAGTTATATATATAAAAATTTTTTTTTTCTCTCTCAAAATACCTTGTACTGCACTCTACCCATTTAATATTTTTGGACCACAGTTGACTGGGGTAACTGAAACCATGAGTAACTTGACGTTGTGGAAAGCAAAACTGCAGATAAGGATGGACTACTGTGATTGAAAGAAGTAAACCACATAAAATGTTACAGAAATGCCAAAGAATTACGGGCAGACAACAGATAATGAGAATTCTTTTAAAAAGAGATACACAACAGAGAAGAAAAATAAACCGCTTTAATATACACTATTTGTACATTAATTATAAACTGTGGCAGTAAAAGCTTTCCGAACATTGGCAAGAAAAGCTGAAAAATTGTTGGTCTTCCTTACATTCTCTTGAAATTCTGCTAGGCACTCAAGATGAGGGGCACTATCTGACACTAGAAAAGAAAAATCAAACACAATTAGAATGAGACTTTTTATGGCAGAGAAGCATTTCTAAATTAGATGCTCTCATTTGATTTGAATGTCAATTCTATTTTAATGAAATTCTTTGAGGGTAAAAGAATACACTTGATTTTCATATGCCAACCATCTTTTGGACCCTTCCTTTGTTTAATCTCTAAATATTCAAATCTTAAGCACTATAATCTTGCTTTAAATTTAAACAGATGGCAATCAAGGATTGAAGAGTTTAGTGATACAGTTTAGTGCCCATCATCTTAAACCTACACGTTTTAACTATTTAAACGAGTTTTTTTTTTTTTTAACTGTTAAGTCATTTTTCTTTCCTGCAAAACTTTGGTCTGACTGACTTTTCTTTTCTGACCACTGGATTTTTTTTTTAAATAACAATTTTTTCTTCTTAGACAGAGTCTTGATTTGTCACCAAGGCGGGAATACAGCGGAGTGGTGCAATCTCAGCTCACTGCAACCTCCACCTCCTGGGTTCAAGCAATTTTCTTGCCTCAGTTTCCTGATTAGCTGGGACTACAGGCACCTGCCAACATGCCCATCTAATTTTTTGCATTTTTAGTAGAGACAGGGATTTGCCATGTTGCCCAGGCTGGTCTTGAACTCCTGACCTCAAGTGATCCACCCACCTCTGCCTCCCAAAGTGCTGGGATTACATGCATGAGCCACCACGCCCGGCCTGAAAAAGGAATAATTTTCAATGCCCATCCTTAATAACTTACAATTATGAAAGAAATATCTAGAATTTTCCAAGTGAAATGGCAGGCATTAGAAAATGTGGTTGCTATTCCAAGAGTGGTATTTACAAGGTCTACTAATCAAATGAGACTCAAAGTCACAAATAACAGCATTGTCCTTGTATGTAGTTGTACCAGATGGTATACTGGGACAAGTCTCCAGTGAAGGTGGTCAAAGGAAAAGAAATTCAACCATTATCAGATTTCCAGCTCTCTGGTACAGATTGCTTAGGAAACAAGATTCATGTCCACAGCAGAGAAACAAGAGCAAAGGGCCTCTGGTCCAAAATATATCCTGTATATTCTATTTTAATGTATTATCTATATACTATTAGACTATACAGTAAGAGAATATACTATTTGGAGAAAATTGAAAAGCTAGATAAGAGGTTTTTGGAGGCTTGCTTTTTAAAATCTAGCACTAACTGGATTGGAAGATATTTACTTAGAGAGAAAATAACCCCAAACATCTGTATATGAATTAGATTCTCAAAATAGGAATTCCCTAGGAATAGGAACTGAGTCACCAGGGCACAGTGCTGTGCCACATCAGCATTCATGTGAGTGTCTTTCAGCTACAAAGGCTGTATGATAGCATAGGTGTAATGAGCTGAGAACCAATTTTATAAATTCCAATAAGTTAAGGATTCCTTACACACGGGCATTAGAATAAACAAGAGATAAACATATGTCTTTTGTCTTCTTGTTCACATTATTATGAATGACATATTTTCCTTATAAATCGAAGGCCTTTCGGCTAGCTGCAGAATCAATAACTACCTTTATTATCAATGTGTGAGACGTGCAGGATGAAACAGTTTTTCAAAAATGTATTTTTGGAAAAATTATTAAATTCTGCTGACTTTATATTAGATTTTAAAATCATCTACTTGGATAAATTCTAATATTCACATTTAAGCAACCATATTCTTTAAAGCTTCAGCTTTTTAAAAAGTTATCTAAAAGGACAATTCATATTTGCACATGAATGCAATGATCTTTGCTTTTCAGATTTTCCAGGCACTGTGGCATTGTGCCATCCTGAAGAGATGCTACTTATTAAGGATCCTAGATAATACCTATAAATCAAGACTATATTCTCTTCCTTTAGGAGACCATGACCCAAAAAGCAAGACTAAAAAAGGAAGCAATTCCTCCATATTACTTTATATTCCGACTGAAATAACAGTTTGGGATGCCAATCTTAAAAACCAGTTAAGAGATGTTAGCACATACCTTCATAGTCCCTTGCTTCATTTAGATGCAGGGAAAACATAAATGGGCTCTCAGGATTCTTAGGGTCAATATTAGTGAATATAAACTGCAATTTCTCACCTGAAAAGAGATTAAACTATTTAGTGTGTCAAAGCTTTCAATGGAGATATGATTTCTTACACCATCTTTGATCAATATTTGTACTACTAAGTAAATACAGTCATGAAACCAACAATTATAAATGCAGAAGTCACAGATTCGTTTTAAAATATATTATAGTTTCAATATGACATCAAAAACACAGCCAACAAAAGAAAAACTAGATAATTTGACTTTGTTAAAATTAAAAACTTTTGTCCTTCAAAGAACATTATCAAGAGAAGGAAAAGACAACCTAAAGAATGGGGGAAAATATTTGCGAATCATTTATCTGATAAAGGTTGAATACATAGAATGTATTTAAAACTCCTGCAGCTAAAAACCACCCAATTCAGTAACTGGCAAAAAACTTGAATAGACATTTACCCAAAAAACATATAAAAATGGCCATTAAGTACACAAAAAGATGCTCAACATCATTAGTCATTATGTAAATGCAAGCTGAAATGACAATGAGATACCATTACATATCCAGTAGGATGGCAAATAAATAAATGGAAAATAACAGTGTTGGTGAGGATGTGGAGAAACTGGAACCCTAGCAGATTGCTGGTAGAAATGTAAAATGGTACAGCCACTGTGAAAAACAGTTTGGCAGATCCTCAAAAAGTTTAAATATGACCCAGTAATTTCACACCTAAGTATACACGCAAAAGAACAGAAAACAAAGACTCAAGGAGATAACTATATGCCAATGTTCATAGCGACATTATTCATAGTAGCCAAAAAGTGGAAATAACCCAGTGCCCACCAATAGATGAATGCATATAGTATACACATACAATGGAATATTGTTCAGCCATAAAATGGAATGAAGTCCTGACACATGTAACAACATGGATAAACCTTGAAAACATAAGTGAAATAAGTCAGACACAAAAGGATAGATATTATATGATTCTGCTTGTATGAAATATCTAGAAGAGAAAAATTCATTGACAGAAGGTAGATTAGAGGTTACCACAGAATGGAGAAGGAAGGAATGGGGAGTTATTACTTCATTCATACAGAGTCTCTGGGGTGACAGAAAATTTTGTAAATAAGTAGTGGTTTGTGGTGGTTGCACAACACTGTAAACATAATTAATCTCAATGAATCGTACACTTAAAAATGATTAAAATGGCAAATTACAGGTTATAGTTTATGACGAAAAATATATTATCAAAACAAATTTAATTTGACATGTTTCTACAGCTACCTGTACTTAAAACTTATTTTCCAAAAGACCTGCAAATGCCCCCAAAGACCTCATAGAAATTCAAAATGGTAGTGACAAAATACACAAAAGTTTACATGCATTTTAGTTTTTTCTATAGCATAATTAGAAAATCTCATTAAAAACTTTTAACATTAAAACAAATCTTCAGAAACTTAAAAAAAAACTGTCTTGCAATCCACTATGGAATGAAATATAATGTTAGTACATTAGGTTTTAAAACTGTTAACAGTAATGAGGAAGAATGAGGGAAATGCATGTCAAGGAAAACAGATTTCATAAAATATAAATTTTAGGCAAGAATAGTTTTAACTTGGGTTTTCTCTTTCTTAAAATGTTATTTCTGACTTTGAAAGCAAGACAAAATATATTTTAAATCTAAGAATAATTTTAAAGGCTTAAAACTGGCTGTTTAAAAACAAAACTAAATTAAAAAGCACCCCAGGATAACAGTAAGTATAAACTTAGAGTTCAATGGATCAAAAATTCAGAGTTGAACTTTATATTCTCCTTTAATCAGAAGGTTAATTTTTTTTATTAAAAACTCATTCTAATTGATAGGACTAATAGATGTATAGAAAAACAACTCAAACAGGCCAAGAAAGAAATATAATTAGTAAGCAAATGGAAAAAACCATTTTTATTAATAATCAAAGAAATGAAATTTTAAAAAAAGTTCTTTTCTTGCCTAGTCAACTGCCACAAACATAAAAAAAAAGAACCTTAAAAAATACAAATTTGGCAACAATACAATGAAATGGGTTCTCTCATACATTGTGGATAGGTGTGCATAAAAGTTAATATGCCAGGGCTGAGACTGCTATCCTTGGAAACTTAGAAAGCCCTGCTTGCCTGGTGAACCGTTGGCAGCTGTGGTCTTTTTGATGATTCACTAGGAGAACTCATAGGATTCACTCAGCAGCATATGGCCATACTCAGGGCTATGATTTATTACAAAGGATACAACAAAATCAGCAAAGGGAAAAGATACGTGGAGTTAAAGTCCAAGGAGAACCAAGCACAAGCTTCCAGAGCCTCTAATAAGCTTCCGGAGAGACAACACTTCACGTGTGTTGTCACAATTTGATGCTGAGGAATTAAACACATCCTGTTTAACTTATACTGGGTTAGGACTCTTGAAAGCTTGTGCCAGGTTTCCTCTAGACTTAGCCCCACGTGCTTTTGTTCCTTTCCTGATCCTGTTTTGTATCCTTTTGCTGCAGTAAATCTTAGCTATGAATGTGACTATATGCTAAGTCCTTCTAGTGAATCGCCAAACCTGAGAATGATCTTGGGAAGCCCAGACACAACAGACATTGCTATATATTAGAGATGTACATGTGATATACACGCAACAGGCGTAAAATATTCATGCTTTTTATGACCTAGCAATTATTCTCTACGAAACAAATTAGATGGAAACCATATTTATCCTCACTGGTTTATAATAGTCCCCCCTTATGTACTAGGGAGAAATATGTCCCAAGACCCCCAACAGATGCCTGAAACCACAGATAGTACCAAACCCTATGTAAACAGATGCTCCTTAACTTACAATGGCACTATGTGCCAATAAACACATCATAAGTCAAAAACACTGTAAAGCAAAAATTCATTTAACACCCCGATAAACTGATTATAAAGCCAAAAAATTTTAAGTTGAACTATCGTAAGTCAGGGACCATCCATACTATGTTTTTTCCTACACGTACATACCTATGATAAAGTTTAAGTTGTAAATTAGGCACAGAAAGAGATTAACAACAACAACTGATAATAAAACAATTACAATAATATACTGTCATAAAAGCTATATGAATGTGACTTCTCTCCCTCTCAAAATATCTTATTGTACTATACTTGGATGAGTATAGTAATATCATCAGACCACGGTTGAAGGTGGGTAACGGAAACCATGAATAACAGGGATGACTGTATGTTTAAAGCTGAAAAAACTGGCAGAATCCAAATGTTGTTAGAAGCAAAATATGTGTTCAACAATAGATAAACAGTTGAATAAATTATGCTACATTAATAATGAATTATTATACCACTCTTTAGAAATTACCATTATGAAGGCTTAAAGTAACTGAGGAAATGCTAATACAATGCTGATAGAAATAACAAAAATTATTTGCATGTTGACAATCATGCCAAAAATACATTTATTAAAATATTGAATGATAAATAATTAGAGTATCAGTAACTATGTTAGAAAAATTTAAAAATTGTAATTTTTCCTATTTTCTAAAAAGTTAATGTGGTCATTTCAGTTGAAAATATTCTTAAAATTCTCCTCTACTTAAGAAAAGACATACTTTTCTAATCTACTATGCTTTATTTATATTAACAAACTTACCATAAATTTTTCGAATTTCTAGTCCAAGTCGATCTTTATACAAGTCTGCAGATTTCTGCAGCCTTTTCAACCTCTCTGCATTCGCTTTATTAGCAGTAGAAATAGCTGTGATTGAAAAACATACAAATGCAAATGTTTTAAATAATAGTACATTAATGCTCACTGAGTTAATTTTTTAAACTTAAAATCAACCATAAAATGATGCCTAGCCTCTGAATCTGCTTCCACTTACTGTTTCTATATCTACCAATGAGCAAAAAGAAGCTTCTGTTCATTTAAGTTGGAAGGAAAAACTGCTCAAGAAAATGTATACAGATAGAAGAATACGCTTTGTTTTACTTTATTATGCAGTAGCATGAATAAATAGGCCAGGGATTTGTATGGCTAGCATAGAAATAGACAGTCTTCATTTATACTATTGTGTTTTTTCTAGATAACCAATTGCTTCATGGGGAAATGTTCTATTCCTTTTAAGCATAACTATCTCTTATGAGAAGTCAGCCTTATTTCATAGTAGTTTAGTTTTTTTCTTTTCTTTTTTTAAAGTTAGCACAACAGTCCCTAAGTATAGTTTAAAGTAGCACAATAGTCCCTAAGTAATGAGAAAAATAATTTCACAGTTCAGACTTGGGTAAGAACTCCACAAGAAAAAGCATTAAACTTTGCTATTTTCAGGAGATTTGAAGAATATATTACCTAGTTTGTGAGAAAACAGGTTCCTTTCTAAAAGACGCATTCATTTGAATATGAAAGTTCTTTATACAAAGAGATTTTGCAGCATAAAAAGAGCGCTTAATATTACTTGGCAGAGAATGTATGGTCAATAAATACTCGTTGCCAAAAGTACACAATGGCTTGTCCAAAGCAAATTTTATTTAGGGATACCATTTCTCACTCTGCTTAATTAAACCCTCATATCAATTTCATTATTACTCTGATTATATTAAAAATCACAAGAAAAGGGCTTTCAAGTAAGACAAAAGAAAATAAAACCCAGCTAGCTTACTTTAACGACATCATGCAGAGATAAGTGGCTAGTTATGCCCTGAGGTACTGTAATCCATTTTTAGCAATGAACTGGAACAGGCAAGATGTACTTAATAATGGTGAACTGTTGCCATTTTAAATTTTAGATCAGTATGTTTACAACGGGAAACTTACTTTCCTTCTTCCTAGAATATTCTTCCTTAAGATCCTGGATATTTGCAGTCAGTACTTCCAATTCTTGCTTTTTGTCTTTTACTTCAGCAATCAATTTTAACAAGTTATCCTTTTTTTCTTGAATGAGCTTATTTTGCCTGCTGATCTCTGTAAGAAGCACAAGGTTAAAATGCTTTGCTCTCTGACATGTATCTAAGAAAAAACCAAAGTTTACTGACTTTCATAAAGATTAAAATGTTTTGATTGATAAGCATTTTCTAATGATTTAAAAATTATAAAAGACAAAAAAGAAAAAAAATCCTATTCTTTGAAAAAATGAGATATAAATGCTTCTTAAAATGAGAATACCAAATTAAACCAAAAAACAGAAAATCAAAAGATCATGATCCTTGCAGCTCCCCACTCCAAATAAGTACAGAAATATAAAAACTACCAAGAAAGATAACCAAACTCTATTTTTTATTTTATTTTTATATTTTGCTGAAACAGGGTCTCGCTGTTGCCCAGGCTGGAATGCAGTGGCATAACCACTGCTCACTGCAGCCTCCTACTTTAGCCTTCCAAGTACCTGGGACTACAGGCACACATCACACCATGCCGGGCTAATTTTTTAATTTTTTGTCTCACTATGTTGCCCAGGCTAGTCTCAAACTCTTAGGCTCAAGCAATCCTCCTACCTCAGCCTCTCAAAGTGTTGGGATTACCAGTGCAAGCCACCATGCCTGGCCAACAACCAAACTCTAGAAGAAGGCTTTACATAGTGCTTTGAGGAAGAAGGCTCATTCTAATGCTATATAAATTATTCTGGAACATACCAAAAGACAGAAATAAGTGAAGGAAGACAGGTGGGAAGGCAAAGCTTATAATGTAAGCATAATTCTAAAACTAAAACAAAAAAATTAAAGATAGCACTGGCCCTCTACCCACAACCATATAAACTAATCTCACTTAAAAACATTAGGCACAAAGATGCTCAATAAAATACTAACTTACATGAAAAATAATCTACTAAGAACAAATATAGTTTATTCTAAGGATTTTATATAGTGAAGGTATATCAGGAAAATCCATCACATGAATAGGAATTGAAGAAACATTTCATACAAATTCAGCATCTACTCCTGATACTGATTCTTAAACTACAAATGGAAGGACATTTCTTTAACAATGCAGAAGCAAATCAAAAACCTTTCAAATCCCATAATAAATATTTGGCATTTCCAAAAGGAATAAAATAGATGCTGGCTAGCACTGTTATTTAATATTTTCCCTAGAAGTTTCTGGCCAACACAAGATATTTAACTGGTAAAACTGTAAGAAAAAAAGAACTATTTTCATTATATATAGACAATAGACAACTATCTAGAATACTCAGAAAAATCTACTGAAAATCTAGCAGAATTTGTGGTACTACACACCAAAAAAATCAATAGTTTTTGTACATAATACCAGTGATTAATATATAGGTGAGAACAGATATTCATACTAATATTAATAATGGCAATATTAGTTTTTGCTGTTTGTTTTTATTTATTAGTTTTTGCCATTCTGTGCTATTTTTAAGTACTGTGTTATTTTTAAGTACTGGCATACCTTGGAGATATTGCAAGTTCTATTCCAGATCACTGAAACAAAGCAATTATTGCAAATAAAGCAAGTCACAAATGTTTTGGTTTTCCAGTATATAGAAAAGTTATATTTATGCTATGTTGTAGTCTATTAAGTATGCAATAGCATTATGGCTAAAAAACCCAGTATACCTAATTAAAAATTTTTGCTAAAAATGCTAATAATCATCTAAGCGTTCAGTGTGTTCTGAACTTTTGCAGAGGGAGGGTCTTTCCTTGATGTTGATGGCTGCTGACTGATTAGGGTGGTAGTTGCTGAAGGTTGGGGTGGCTGTGGCTATAATAAGACAACAATAACATTTGCTGCATCAATCAGCTCTTTCATGAATGATTTCTCTGCAGCATACAATAGTGCTTGACAGCATTTACCCCTGGTAGAACTTCTTTCAAAATTGGAGTCAGTCTTCTCAAACCCTGCTGCTAATTTATCAACTAAGTTTATGTAATATTCTAAATCCTTTGTTGTCAGTTAAACAATCTTCACAGCATCTTCACCAGGAGTGGATTCTATCCCATAAAACCACATTCTTTGCTCATCCATAAGAAGCAAATTCTTACACATTCAACTTTTATCATGAGATTGCATGGTTTTAGTGACTTCTCTCTAGCTATGAAAGTCTTAGATGGCATCTTCTTCCAAAATAGAAAACTGTTTCATCTACCTCAAAAATCTGTTCTCTAGTGTAGCCACCTTCATCAATGATATTAGCGAGATAACTTGCTGTAGCTTCTACATTAGCACTGCTGCTTCATCTTCCACTTTTATGTTATGGAGGCTGCTGCTTTCCTTAAACCTCATATACCAACTTCTGCTAGCTTCAAACTTTGCTTCCGAAACTTCCTCATCTTTCTCAAGTCTTCATAGAATTGAAGAGGGCTAGGGTCTTACCCTGGATTAGGTTTTTGCTTAAGGGAAGGTTGCAGTTCGTTTGTTCTTCTATTCAGGCCACTAAAACTTTCTCTACATCAACAATAAGGCTGTTTCTCTTTCTTATCCTTTGTGAGTTCAATGAATTAGCACTTTTGCTAATTGGTGCAAGAGGCCAAGCTTTTATCCTGTCTCAGCTTTTGACGCACTTTCCCACTAAGCTTACTCATTTCCAGCTTTTGATTGAATGTGAGACCTATGATTCCTTTCAGCTGAACACTTAGAGGTCACTATAGGGTTATTAATTGCCCTAATTTCCATACTGCTGTGTCTCAGAGACTAGGGAGGCCCAAGGAGAGGAAGAAAGAACTGGCTGGTCAGCAGAGCAGTCAGAAGTCACTCAACATTTATCCATTAAGTTCGTCATCTTATATGGGTGTCATTCATGGCACTTAAAACAATTACAATAATAATGTCAAAGATCACTGATCATAGAGCACCACATGAAATATAATAATGACAAGTTTGAAATCTTGTATTACCAACATGTGGCAGACATGAAGTCAGCACATGCTGATGGAAAAATGGTGCCCATAGACTTGCTTGACACATGGTTGCCATTAACCTTTAATTTGTAAAAATTGCAATATCTGTAAAGTGCAACAAAGTGAAGTGCAATAAAACAAGGTATCCATGTATCAAAATACTGGCTTTTTACATCTGTCTCACATATTGGCCAGCACTCATTACTCCTTTTTGGCTTTAATCCCTCTACCCTCCCTGCCTTCCCCATGTCCCTGTCACTGTCTGTACAAGTTCTTCTTGCCCTAGCCCTCTTAAACACTCAGCTTCTGCAACTACCCACCCCTTTCTCATGCATATGCTCAAAATAAAAACAACAATGCCTGTGCATAAACCTGGCCAGACCTCTCTGCTGGGAAAGGAGTAACAATGGCAGGGCCATTTCTTTCTCTGTTTGTTGGAAGAAAGATACAACTTCTGCGACTTGTGGGGCCCACTGCCCAGAGACATTGTCCCCAAAGTGCCAATCAAAGGGCTAAATAAGGAAGGCAGGCACAAAAAGCCTAAGAACTCTAGGGCAGAGATTACTGAGGTCAAATAATTAATGCCAGTAGAGCTCATGTGGTGCTTTACAATATGCTTATAAATTTTTGAATTAAAGATTTAGTTTTACTAATACTTATGAAATCGAAACACTTTAAAATCAAATGCCAATTAATAATATCAGTAGTCCAGAATTGTATCAAATAAACTGCACTGTCTATACTGTCATTTAATTCCAGTATCAGAATTATAAGTAAATATATGCTCCAAGAATGAGTAATTTTTTTCTCTAAGTTAAACAAGAGTTAGTCCACCACCAAATTTATGAAGACTTTAAATACCATAAATCTTCAAAAGAGAAATACACTATAATCTGTTCCCCAAATTGAAGTGAGCAAGAATTCTCAGTGCTTGAACAACATCTCTCACGACAAGCATTCCTCGGGCAACAGGGAAATCTTGTTTACAGAGGCAACAAACAGAAAATTCAGAATCAACCTAGATCAAGAAATATGTAGGCTCTGTTAAAAAACAAAACAAAACAAAACAAACTACAAAGCTTGTCTGAGACACATATTTGATCTGGATATATGAAGAGATATTTTATGCTTCTAAATATTATAAGAGACATGCCAAACAAATGTTGGCATATTTTGGAAGTTAATATGATAAATGAAATGCCAAATCAATGTTCAAGAGGTACATTATTTTCTAAACAGTGCTGAAATCCAAAACAAATTCTTTAGTCTTTTACTACTTTTTTTAAAAAAGACGAAAAAGACTCAGCAATTCAGTAACTTGCCCAAAGCTGTATTTGCTAGGATGAAATTAATAAGACTGCATTTAAACTCGGGTCTTGAATATTAAACTATCCTCCTCCAACAATGAGTTACCGTTTTAATCTCAAGAGGAAGACACAAATACAAATTTGTAAGGAAAAAAACGTAAGAGAGATAAAAAGATGAAACACAGAATGCAGATGATTAATAAATATGAAAGATAACCTCAGATAAATCTCAGAAATGCAAGTAAAGCAATAAAATTTCAATTTTCATTTATTACAACGTTTACAAAAATAACAACAAATCTTGAGAGGAATGCAAAATGCTAGGGTCCTTCTGGAAAATATTTGCGACATTGTAAAATAAAAGAGCCTTAAGAATATTCACCTCCTTTGACCCAGCAATTTCATTTTTACAAAGTTACCATAGGGAAATAGGATATGTGCAAATATTTATATATAAAAATTCTTTTTCAGTATTTATAATGAAAAACTGAAAACATCCTCAATTGCTAACAAGTAAATGATTTTTAAAATATGGTAGGTCAGTAAGATAGAATGTATTTTCAAAAAAATTTTGCTGTGTGGGAAAATACTCTAAAAGTTAAAAAAAAAATAGTTATATAGATACCATGAACATAATTATGTTAAAAATCTACACAGCTCATGAAAAATAAAAGCTAGAAAGTCATTTGGTTAAACGTGGTTCTCAATATTACAGGTGATATTTTTTGGTTTTTTTTTGTATGTTCTAAGAATATGAACATGATCACATATTAGGTCAAGTATTATTTAAAAATAAACATCTTACTAGAAAGAAAATGCTACCATTTAAAGAAAAGTATTAAGTAGAATTGTGTTACACAAGAAATCCAGATTGAAGTCAAAGGTCTCAACTCTAATCCAGCACATCAGTTGTTATCCAACGATCTTGGTCAAAATCACAACTTCTGAATCTCTTTTCCTTATTTGTAAAATGGGGATAACAGTTGCTACTCCATTCACTGGGGTTAGAGTATCCAGTAATAATAATACGAAAACTTTTAAACTAGTGACACATAAATGCCAAATATAAGAGTGTTTTTATTACAACATTTGAAGAGCTGTGTGAATTTGTGGCCAATAGAAATATAAAGGCCCTTGATGCTGTGTGATTAGTATTGCATGTGTACACAGTTGGCTATCTTATTCCCAGGACGGACATTTCAAACTTGTACTCCTACTTGTGTTTTCCCTCCAGTGCAGGTCAGTATGGTACAATGGAAAGAACACAGATGCTTTGGTTCTAATCCTAGATCCTCTATCTACTCCCAGACCTTAGGCAAGTTTCTTAACCTCAGTGAGCTTCAATTTCCTCATCTGTAAAACAGGGATCATCTCTGTCTTAGACAGACTTCAGGATTTATAATAATTTAAAAGCCTGCCCATAGTAAATACCTCTCAATTTCAACAGATGATTTTCCCTCTTGTGATAATTAGCATTGATGGCTCCAAAATTTTAGGCTATTTTGATCTCTGCAGTACCTTCCTAGAAGATTACCTGGTACAGAGCAGTAGCTCAACAAATATTTGATGAGTGAATGAATTCCCTCCACATTTCTTATTCCCAAAATAATATCTATCTCAGTGTTTACCTTACTGGATCTACCTGTGACTTCCAATGTTGACAACACCCTTTCTTGTTTATTTCCTCTTTCCGTTTTGGTGACCTTCCCGCTTACGTCCTCTGTTCTCCAATTACTAATTCTATCTTCCCTGGTCCTTTCCATTTACCCCTCTCTCAAATTAAAGAGGAAAGGTAATGCTTTGAAGATGAGTGAGGCTTCTGAAGTTAATCTGATGATGCGGGGCAAATCACAATCTCTCTGGGACTGTAATATCAGTAAAGTAGGAATAATAATAATAATAGCAACTCTGGAGAACTGTCATAAGGACTGAAGGAGATGGTCAATGTAAGGCATTTAGCACATTACCTGTCACACAGTAATGAGTAAATAAATATTATTACTGTCCAAGGCTATCTTCTTAAACTCTACATATTCTTCCACAGCTTCAACCCCAAAATACACTGTAGACTCACAAATCCCTATCTTCAGCAAAGAGCACTTTCCTGGCTGGCCTCCAGATGAATATATACATTGCCTACCAGACATCACAACCTGAGGACTCGCTGCATAATAAACTCAACATATTCAACCAACACATTTAAAATTGAACCCATGTATGTTTCCTTCCCACCCATAAAAACATGCTCCACCACTCTTTCAATCCCTTACTTAGTAAATGCATCACCACTGATTCATAATCCACGTAAGAAGGAATCAACCTAGACCACAACACCCTCTCACCTTCAGGCCAACAGTCATGAGTCTAACCCCTCAGACCTGTCACTGGTCCAAGCCACCCTCATTATGTGCCTGTACTATTACACTAGATTTTTCCTTTAACTGTCTCTTTACAGGCAACAATCTCATTCCCCTCCTGTTTATTGTGTATGACTACTAGAGAGCTTCTTCTGAAACATAAATCCAGTATCATTTTCCAGGTGGAAATTCTATAGCAACTCTTTATCTCCTGAAAAACAAAGTCTAACCCCCTTTGCACAACATAGAATGTCCATCAATCTGGCCAGTTCTCCTTCCGGCCACTTCTCCGCCACTCCCCATCTACAGTGTACTCTAGCCATCCCAGAACTTATCAAGCACTCGTGTTCCTGCCCCATTCCATGTGCTGTTCCCTCTTCCTAGAATGTAATGCTGACTCTGTTGAACATCCCTAATCCTCCTTTATGTGGTATTCTCCAAAGTAGTGTGATATAATCAAACTAAAAGTTCAAAACATTTTCTGTTATCAGCTATCCGACCTCGAGCAAGTAGCTTAACCTGTGCTTGTTTCATTATAAAAATCTAACATGTAAGAATAAAAGCAGTATCTATACCTCTTAGGGTTGTTGTGAGAGTTCATGAGTCAATATATGCAAAGAGCTTAGAACAGGGCCTGGCACATGATATACAAGGTAATGGTTAGCTATTAAATTACAATTTTTTTTTTTTTTTTTTTTTTTTGAGACAGAATCTCCCTCTGTCATCCAGGCTGAAGTATAATGGCATGATCATAGCTCACTGTAGCCTCGACCTCCTGGGCTCAAGCTATCCTCTTTCCTCAGTCTCCTGAGTAGTTGGGACTACAGGTGTGCACCATCACACCTGGCTAATTTTTCCTTAATTTTTATAGAGACAGGGTCTCACTATATTGCCCAGGCTGGTCTTGAACTCCTGGGCTCAAGTAATCCTCCTGCCTTGGCCTCCCAAAGTGCTGGGATTACTTTGGCTTGAGCCATTGCACCTGGCACGATATATTTTAATTGTGGATTCCCCGTCTATATCCTCCATAATATTGTGAGTAAATTATACTTCATGCATTGTTGTCTCCTTAGTGCTGGGCAATAGCAGTCATATGTTCACTGAATTAATTAAAATTGGGTAAATTATATTTCTGTTCAAGTACAAACTGATTTTTAAAGAAAAATATTGATAATGCTTTTAGATTTTTAGATTTTAGACTATATAGAGCATATCTTCACACTATAGATAATCTTTAAGAGCACACTTTGAGACTCACAGTAGTAAAATTGACAGTTCCAAACTTTTAATTTTCTAATGCCTAGGGATCCTACAGAGGTTTTAAAGAACCCAAACTCAGCATCACTCTTTCACACACACATGCAAACAAAAGTGGTTTTCCTTTTTGCTTATGGTTACAGAGGGAATGAGAGAAGCAGTGAACGGGCATGGAAGCTTCAGGGCAGATTACAAAGTAAACATGGGTAAAGGTCTAGCAAATAACCTACTGGGGTAATAAAGTCAGATGCTTTCACGGGCCACACAAAGAGTAAAGTGGGTAAGTCAAAGCCACCCACTTTGCTAATGAAAGAACATATGCCCCATGTAAGGACATTCCAGTCTAACATTGTTTAAAACATGGTGCCTTTAAACTGGGTATCTCTAGTAGAATCTGAACTGTGGACACAAGTTTGCGTTCTGTGGGTAAGAATTCAGTAAAAGCTGCCAGGTCTTGGTAAAAGCTGTTGATCCACTCTGGACAACCGGAAGAGAGGTAGAAATAAGATGGCAAGAATAGAAGTAAAAATATGGAGAGAAACACTTTCAGAGTACTAACAGAGCTGAGAGCACTCCAGCTTTTCATTCCCCAGGCTGTGATTTCCAACACAAAAACAAACTCATCTTTTAAAAAATACTGGCATTTAAACCTTGGCACTGACAAATCTCACAAGTACAGTGCTGAGTGAAAAAATGGACAGAAGACATACAAGAGAATGCCATTTATATAATATTCAAAAACACAATACTAGAAGCCAGGCACGGTGGCTCACACCTGAAATCCCAGCACTCTGGGAGGCCAAGGTAGGCAAACCTCTTAAGCCCAGGAGTTCAAGACCAGCCTGCACAACATGGTGAAACCTTATCTCTACAAAAAAATACAAACTAACCAGGCATAGTGGCATGCACCTGTGGTCCCAGCTACTTAGGGGCTAAGGTGGGAGTATCACTTGGGCCCAGGAGGTTGAGGCTGCAACGAGCCTAGATCATGCCAGTGCACTCCAGCCTGGCTGACAAAGTGAGACCCTTTCTCAAAAAACAAAATAAAAACCCGCAATACTAAACAATATATTGACAGGTTAGTTGTGGAAGGTGGGAGAAGAAGGTGAAACATGGGATGTTCTACCTTACGCTGAATGGTATGTCAATGTTTATTCCTATATACAAGCATATGTATATATGTTAATGTGTATTTGTGTGTGTGTGTGTGTGTGTGTATGTGTATTTTTTGTAGAGACGGGGTTTCACCACATTGCTCGGGTTGGTCTTGAACTCCTGGGCTCAAGGGATCCACCCACCTCGGCCTCCCAAAGTGTTGAGATTACTAGCATGAGCCACTGCATAAACAATATATAAACAGTATATTCACACTTGTGCACACAAAATACATTGTCTTACTTGTATAATTTCACGATAAAGACATTTTATCTTAAAAAAACCCCATAATTTACACTTTTTCACATACGATTTTGATATTCCAGAAACATCTCAACCATTCTATCTTCTTCCTTTAATTTCACAGACAGCTTTTCTGAAAGAGAAATTGGAGTGAACTTTGAATTCAGCTGAAATAACACTAAAAAATAAAATAGAACAGCAAAAACAGCACATTACAAGTTAACATTAGTTACCTGCAAATGCTTTGAGGGAGTCCTTGTAGGTATCTCTTAGTCCTGCCATCTGAAAGGAGGTGTCAGTGCTTTTGAATTTATTCCAAAATTCATTTAGGCTTTTATCGAATAGTGCCAGTTCGTCCTCTACCATCATGTAAGACAATGCTACAAAAGAATACACATTGCATTTTTTAAGAGTTATTGAAATCAGATCAGCCACATGTTCCAATCAGGTATACAGTATTTTGGCAATTTGCCATTTGCTAGAAAACAGCAACTTATCTTTAATTCTAAGTCATCAAGGGTAGAGGCAAGCCACCTGGGCTTAACTGTGGTTAACGTGCAGCAGTAATCAAGGACACCTTTACCTCCTAGCGGATTATTAGTAGGTAAGTGTAAATGCACAGGATGTTCACACGTTCTATGACTCTGGGTCCATTTTCTCACAAGCAAAACTGTTGATTTCTAAAACCCCTTTTCTAACTCTGACCTTTTCTAATCGGAGATCAACAGGATGGCCAGGTGGCGGGCCCCTCCCATAGAATAAGATCCCACACATCTACCCTGTCTCTCTCCCCCACCTCAGAACAGTAAAAGTTAACAGTAGGATAGAGAATAAAGTGAGAGTTCGGTGGGTTCCGTCCAGAGTGTATACAAGTCACCTCGGGCCTCAGTATCCTCTGTAAAAGGAGTTCCTGGGAGAATCCTGGACCCACCAATACGCTGTGACGCTAAAACCTTCCCAGGAGGACCAAAGAGATCCCCTGCAGTGAAACCCTGAACCTTTTGGGTTCGCAGCCGCCCAATCCACCAGGCTGGTGAGGCCCAAACTGCAACAAGATGCCCATTTCACAAACGCCGCCCCAAATACACACATTCCGCCCCCAAACTCACTTTCCCCTATCGCGACAGACAGTCCGAAGAGCCCAGCTCGGCGCCCACCTCCCTCACCTTCGCAGGCAGGCCTGAGTCCAGTCGCCTTCCCCACAGCAAATCCGCGCCCACGGTAGCCAACAGCCGGGCTTCAGACAACTCCCGCAGCCCCACCGACTTTCGGATTTCAAACCCAATGCACTTCCCGCCACCCGCCTGCAGGCGCACGCTCGCCTTCTGATTGGCCGAGAGCACAGACTCTCCATGACACGATTGGTTAAGCTTACCCTTGGATTCTCGCGGGAAAAATGGGGAACATGGCATTCTGGGATTCGTAGTTCTTTTCTGAGCAACAGCAGGAGTCTCCGCTGTGACCCCGAAAGCATTAATAGCACCGAAGAGCTCGCCCACGACAAGTCATTCGTCGGCTTCAAATAAAGGTTTCTGGAACAAATACATATTTCTTGCCAAAGATATAAGCGTATCTTTCGCAAGAAATAGATCCTCTTCTTTGTATTCACCTTGTAAAGTTGACTTCAATTATGAGTGGGGAGAAACATTCAAATAATCCTCAGAATAGGTTTTTCCTTCTTACAAAAATATTCCTTCTTTTCTGCTGCCCCAGGTTCTCTAACAATGTTTTTGAGGCCTAATAGAACACTGTTACTATCTTGCAGAAGTGGAAGAAACTAGAACACTATCAAAATCACCTGCTATGTTCTCTGAGTTCAGGAGTGAGGCATAAAGTATTCAACGAGGATTTGCCAGAGTAGTCAAGCTGCAGAAAATCTGCGTTGTCCAGGAACTCTGAAAGGTGACATAGATTTGGCATTTGAATCCTTCTTGGTAATGCTGAGGAAGAAAGAAAACTGGGGGAAAAAAACTAAAGAATGTGCTCTCTGGGCGGGGCGTGGTGGCTCATGCCTGTAATCCCAGCACTTTCGGAGGTCGAGGCAGCGGAGCACGAGGTCAGGAGTACGAGACCAGCTGGCCAACGTGTTGAAACGCCGTCTCTATTAAAGGTACAACAACAAAAAAAATTGCCAGGCGTAGTGGTGGGCACCTGTAATCCCATCTAGTTGGGAGGCTGAGGAAGGAGAATTGCTTGAATCCAGGAGTCAGAGGTTGCAGTGAGCTGAGCTCTCACCACTGCACTCCACTCTGGGCAGCAGAGCAGGGCTCCATCTCAAAAAAAAAAAGAATATGCTCTCTGAAGAATGGAAAATAAAGTTGGCTAAAATAATGAAGTCGAAGTCAAAGTTATTTTCATGTTAGACTATGAGATGTTTGTGAAATTAAAGCCTCTGTTATACACCAAAATGTTTTCACTATACTAGTTTCTTTTCATTTTCATCAGTAATACAAACACCAACAAGAAATAAATATGTAAAAAAAAAAAACAGTCTCAGGGGACCAGATACTAGCCATTTTTTCTCCAAGAACTAAATTAAGACCTATGAAATCAGGACAAGTTATTATGAATATTAAACACTTCACAATATATCCAAAAGTCAGCTTGCAGCCTAGAGACTGCTATTAATACAGTTAGACATACCGTTTGCTGTGATAAATTTCCTTTCATTCCCAGATATTTTCCTAAGAACTTCTGATTTTATATATCTGATAGTATTTACCTTAAAGCAAAATTTTATGAGTTGAGCACCTCAGAACTTCAGCTGATTGAGTGCTGGTACTCATTTGTAGGGTTTTCACAGTACCAAATTAGTGAAGACAGTACTTAAGAAGATTCATGGAAGGGAGCTGACTTGGTATCATGTTGATGAATTCCTCACTGAGTTTTTACACTGGTCTTTGTCAGACTATTGAGTGAAGATTCTCTCTTTGGGTCTTCAGCTAAGGGCAGTGATTGCCCTACCAATGTGCAGTTTTTAGGGCAGCCTCAGAGTGCCCATTGCTTTTCATTCTTTCAGAATACTCCTCCCCAACCAGGATGTGAGGGAGAAGTTTCTTTGTCATTTGTCAAAATTTTCATTTCTGAAAGACTGACTAATTTCTCTCTAATCCCCCAAGGATAACTGGAGACCACCCTCTTCTTTCTACTCAGTGCACAGAATGGGGCCTCCAGCCTTCTCAGCATTAAAAAGGGGAAAACAGACGCCCCGACCTATTGTTACTCACACAACTCTATCATCATCACCACCACCACCATATTTATGTACCTTTCATTTCAAACCAATCAGGATTTATTGAGTTTCTATTTTATGCCATGTACTGAGTTGAGCACTGCCTTCTCTGGGATACATGGTCTGTGACCCAGGGTTGGGTTTCTGCAGGGTGGGGAACAGAACAATGCCACATGTACCCAGGCTGGAGGTGTTTCTGGATGGTGGTTATAGTCTTGCTCAGACTGAAAGCTCCATTGCTCCTCCCCTGAAAACTTAATTCTTTCTCCAGTGGGTGAAGGATAATGTGGTATAAGGATAAAAGATCGTTGTTCTCTATTGCATATACCCTTGCTGGATGGATACTTTGCATCTTGGGGCAGAGCTAGAAATGATCATGAGTAATGCTGTGGTTTAGACTGTAAGTTCCCCATCTTTAAGTATAAAGTTATCTTTATCACATTCACATTTATGCTGACATTCACATTTATACTTTCAACATCCATTCACTGAGAAAATAGAAATTATAAAAGTCACTGTGGATTCAAAAGAGAAGTCTCCTCCTGCAGATTCCAGGTTAAGAGCCTACAATATTGAAAATGCTTACTGCATTTAAATGATTCTTGAACAGAAACTTTCAATGTTCTAGATTTCTGAATGGCCTGTGCCAAACACTGCAATAGATAATTTAAGAAAGCAAGTCTTCTGACAATTACTATAAACTACAGTATTCAAAGTGGAGTCAACCTTCAATGCCAGGTTATACCTGGACTCTTTCATCTCCTTCCTAGAATTAAAAAAAAAAAAAAAAAAATGAAGGAAAGGCTGGGACCTTGTATCAGTCTGTTCTCACATTGCTATAAAGAAATACTTGAGACTGGGTAATTTACAAAGAAAAGAGGTTTAATTGGCTCATGGTTCTGCAAGCTATACAGAAAGAAGAGCAGCATCTGCTTCTAGGGAGACTTCAGGAAGCTTCCAAACATGGCAGAAGGTGAATGGGGAGAAGGTACTTCATGTGCCAAAGCAGGAGCAAGGGAGGTCAGAGGGAGGTGCCACACACTTTTAAATGACCTGATCTCATGAGAGCTCACTCACTGTTGCAAGGACAGTACCCAGAGGATGGTACTAAACCATTTATAAGAAATCCAACCCCATCATCCAATCACCTCCTATGACTATGCTGGAGGTCTGATATAGTCTGGATCTGTGTGGTGGGAGGAAGTCACCAAATTTTATCCCCCAAAAAGAAACCATAAAACTGGACCAAATTATCAAAAACAGCTATTTAAGTGACATAGAAATTGACTAACAGATTACAGCAAATTAAGAAGCATTTATTCATGAAAAATTACTCAAAAACATTATGCTAAGTGAAAGAAGCCAAATGGAAAAGATTATATATACTATGATTTGATTTACATAAAATAAAAAAGCCAGATTCCCAGATACAGAAAGCAGTTCAGTTTTTGCATGGGGTTGGGAGCAGATGCAGGCACTGACTGCCAAAGTGCATGAAAGAAGTTTCTGGGGTATTGGAGATGTTCTGAAACTGGTTTGTGTCAATTACTGGCAACTCTATAAATTTACTAAAAATTGTGGAATTATACATTTATAATGAGAAAGTTCATAGTATATAAATTGTAACCCAATAAAAGTTTTAAAAATGTTTTTGAAAAGATGAACAATATCAGAGCTTCAGAGGAAAAATAAGACTACATTTCCCAAGCACTCAGAAAACATTCAATATAGTAAGAAAAATATCCATGTTATTTTTATTATGGTAAAATACACATAAAATAAAATTTACCATCTTAACCATTTTTAAGTGGATAGTAAAGGGATGTTGAGTGTATTCACAGCACTATGAAACCATCACCACTATTCATCTCCAGAACCCTTTTTATCTGTAAAATTAAAACTCTGCCCATCAAATAACAAATCTGTCTTTCCTCCCCTCACACTCTGACAATTACCATTCTGTTTTCTGTCTCTATGAATCTGACTATTCCAGGTACAATTTTTAAATTGTCTCATAAATGTCAGAAATGAGGATTTCTTCTACGGCTTTTAAATACAATATGTTAATCAATCAATGTTAATGTCTTTAGGTGTGATAAGGATATTATCTCCATTATATTCCTGAATATTTTCCCTTTCATCCTACAGTTTGCATTTCTAAATTCTACCCATATGTCAAGGCCCAGCAACTTGCCCTGTCCTCCCTAAAAGCTTCCTAATCTCACAGACTGAAAGTTATGCCTAACTTTCCTCTTTTCCATTTACTTCTATCTGTTCACCTCTAAGGACACAATGGTATGTGATTTATGTAAATATCTTATCTTCCCTGCTACACCACAAGCTTCTTAAGGTCTGATCTATCTCTGTCCTGTGTGGTACATGTAACAGTCCATGTCTTACTCAGTCTCTTGCTTCCCAAAAGTGAGAGGTTCTCCACCCAATAACATCACCATCATCTGGGATCTTAGAAATACAGTCTCAGATGCCACTCCATTCTTAGTGAATCAAAGACTCTTGAGTCCCTGTAATCTGTGTTTTAACAAGCCCTTCAGGGCAGTTGGATGAACATTAAAGTTTGAGAGACACTGCTTTACACATACTCTTTACACAGTACTCTTTAAGTCATCTATAAAAATGAACAGAGCTATACAATATATTAACTCTACTGTGAAAAAATTAATAGTACTGCTCAATGGGCAACTCTGTCGCATCCTTTAGCAATCCAAGAAAAAGTGTATAGATGTATGGGTCATGATCATTTCTAGAGAAAAGTACATAGGAGACTAATGGAAAGGGGTACTTGGAACAGCTGTAGCAGGGTCATTTATCATGGTGTCATTATGGAATGCCAATATTCCTGGGATGCTAGCCAGAATGAGGGTAATGATTTTCTGAAAGTCACTAGGGTCTAAATTCCATTTGAAATAAATCCATTTTACATTGCAAGGTGACACTGGAGAGATCTCAAATACAATTCATTTTAGAGAAGGCAGATAAGTTTGTGGTAAAAGGATAATGACCATGCAGAGACAGCAAAGGTCAATGCCTCCAAAATATATTTTTGTTTACTGCCACTGCACAAGTA